ATGGGCTGAATGTACCTGGCTGGTCTACTAACCAGGCTTTGATTTGAAGGCCCAAGTTATAACTAATGTGGCTTAGGGGCTGGATGGTTCCTGAAGGGAGAGTAGCAGTTGACAGTGAAAGAAAAGGTTAAGTGAGTGTGTCCATGAGGTGTGTATCAGTACAAGGCTGGAGATATATATATATATATATATATATATATATAGGTAGTGGAGCTTGAGCTATCTTGTGCAGTGGTTTCATTTTAGTTAATGCACTCTGCCATTTTCCCTTAAGTAAAGTATAAGCAACTTATGATTGATAGGGAGAAAGACTAAGGAAAAGGCAAGCAGAGGGACATTTAAGGATGTAACGTTCCTGGCTGTGGTAATGTTGGTGTGTGAAGTGTTTTGATTCTCTGAATTAGTCAAAAGATTGAAAAAAACACAGGCACTACTACCACAGGGGAAAAAAATCGAGGCGGAAGGGTCCTGAGAACGATGTCTGAGAAATAAAAGACAGTGAATATTTTAAAGATCACTGAATTTAATTTATTCAACCTAAATGCACAAAAGTACAGGTGGGGACATTATTTATGCAGGTATATGCAAATCACTTTATAAAATAGGCAAAGCCCTTCTGCTTTTTATAAGTTGCCAAGGTGGTTCCTGGTATTTTAAAAGCTATACACCTTTACTATAATTTCCTAAGAGTTGGAATCCCTCTGTTGGAATCACAGTCATTGTCAAAGCAAGTTTATTTTTTTTCTCCCCTGTGGGACATTACAAGACTCTCATAACCACTACAGAAAGAGTGGTTTCCACAGAGATCTGACTGGAAAAATCCCCTGGAAATTGCTGAGCAGCAGAGAATACAGGCTTAGAAAACAGGAACCCATTTGACCTCTTGAATTTAGTACAGTGAATTCCTGAGCTCTGAAACACGGGGCCCGGCTGTGCATGCCATATTGGTGCTACAAGACTGGCAGTGGGTTGGCTGTGCCATGGTCTATTTCAAACTCCTTCGCAGTGCCCAGCGTTGCGTGTTCCCAGATGACATTTGGTTGGCAGAAGCTGGGCCTCCAAAGCTGGCAGTCTGGAATGCGGCCCACTGTGTTTTGACAAACACATAATTGACCATCTGATCACCAGCCTACGTCCTGCACTCAGGTCGCTGGAGGGACCCAGGCTTTCAGTAGGTCCCTAGTCCTTGTCTCGTTCATCTTCTCAAAGCTTACTCCAGAAAACAACATAGAGAAGACTTAAACACGCCCACACGCATCCTCCCATTTGCAAAAGAGAACACGGTACATAAGACATAGTTGTTGAAAATCTCCTTTAAATTGTCCTGGCAGCCCAAAGTGAACAAGAGAAAAGCACACTTATGGTGAACTCTAATTCAGCGAAAAGGAATGAATATAGTACGGAGTTGTTTCCACACCCGTCTGTGAATAAGCTGCAATTCAGTTCAATGGCATGGAACTTCTGCTTAGAAAAGGCAGCAGTGGGAACATGACAGGAAATTGGGGCCTTGGTAGACTTTAGGGGGACATTATTAAGAAATTGTTTCACTTTTAGGGGAAAGAAGAGAAGAGCATGGCACTGGGAATATTTTCTCCGTATGGGTCTGCCCTTCTCCCACGACCGTTATGGGCAGCAAGATGACACACCTCCGGAGACCTGCAGGCAGCGGTCCTGATTCTGCTGCAGGACTGTGGTCCAGGGAGCTCAGGGTGAGGTCAGGTTCACACTGAGGTCTCTGGTGAAGCTCCCATAAACATGTATTTTGGTCTGAATTTGGTCCCACACAAAACATTAGCCTTTCTCCTAGAAGGCAAGGATTATGCACTGGGCCAAAATATGCTGGAATTATGCAAATGTCAGGTCTATTTCAATACTACAATAGTCCCTCCTCTCCATTCCCACCCTCACTGCCCAGTTTTTCACCTTTAACCTGGTCTCCCTGTTTTCATAATGCTCTATTTAAAACATAAGTCTGTTTAAAGTTCGTCGAAGCCCCCTCAAGCCTGCAGGATCAAGTCCAAACTCCTCTGCATGGCATACAAGGCCCTCCATAATCTGACTTCTGCCTACTTTCCAGCCTCATCTCTCAGTGCTCCCCTCTCAATCCCCTGCTCAGCCACACTGAACTCAGTCCTCTGCACTTGGCTGCTGTGTGAGGCCGCCTGCCTTTGCAAACGCTCTTGGTTTTTCCTAACTGTGACCCTCCTTTCTTTCCCCTCTCCCTCATCCATCTGGTAAACTGCAATTCATTCTTTCTGACTTGAAGGCCCAGCTTGGGCACCTCTACACAATGCAAAGGGCACTCCTTCTTCCCTCTGCGACATCTTGTATATGCATCCATTCTAGCACTTACCACACGGTATGGTCTTTATTTAGTTATTTGTCTCCTCTACCAGACTGTGAGTGCTTTAACAACAGAGAACACTTCTTCTTTATCTTTGTGCCCAGGACCAAGCATAGTGACTAGCATGCCATAAATGTGTGTTGACTGAATAAAAGCTGGTACATAATGATTAATCAAAACTAAGTCAAACAGCATTATTAGCTCCTATAAGCATAGTAGGAGTGTACTAGCAATCTAATGAAGGCAGAAGGTCCCACCAGTAAAGCACTTTCTGATGGTTATCATAGGAGCTTGTGATGGGCTGGGGTGAAAGTAAGAGTGAGGGATAGATGTTGTGATGGAAGAATGTCTTTTTAACCAAGAATGCCACTGAGGCAGTGAATTATCACCCTTTTCAACACTTAGTTTTAAATACTGAAAAGTCCTGTCCTGGACATGAATCTGAGTCTGAACTGTAGAGAGAGGTCTAAGTTATATGAACTCGGTATCCCAAAGAGGGCAAGTCTGTGCTACCTGCTTCAAGGCAGCAGGGCAGGTTATGGAGGCCTCCCCACGGATTATGCTAAAGAGTCATGGAATGGAAATTCTTGAGGGAAAGTCTGGTAGCTATTCAGGTCCTACTGAAGTCTGGGTCAAATGAAGAGGGAGACACTGGTCTAAATGTAGTGTCAACGAGAGAAGGCGGGAAGGACTGTGCACCTGTCTAGAGGAGGCAATTGAAGAAGTAAAAAGAATATCAGAGTTAGAAGGACTGGGGAACTAATGTTCTGATCTGTTCCCAAGGAACTTTTCCTTTAGATGGGTCCCTGGGGTGCTGTCACTGGAGTCATCAGCTGTGTCTTGGGGCATTTGAGGACAGAAAGACTGCCAAAGGCCCTGTCATCCTGATGACATAAGGGCAGCCTCAGGATTTGGAACAATCCAAGAAAGTATGAATCCTGGCCCAGGGACGGGCACACAAATGGGCTATCAGCTCATTAGGTGTCACCCTCCCAGCCTTATCTCTGGTTAGAAAAATAGAATCTCTCTAGAAGCTGCTGGACTGATGGTTGATGTAGCATTAGAATGAGTTTCACATTCTGCTATGAGCCAGAGACAGCTTTTCAATTACATTTTTTCTCTCCAAGGTCTGCCCCTCCATTTCTAATCTGTGACACAGGTCTCCAGTCCCCTGTACAGCTCGTGTCTGAGGCTCGCCCTATGGTGCTGACGTCATAACAGCTGAGCGGGCGGGCAGGAGTGCACTGCTGACTCATCCCTGGTGATGTGAGGATTAATGCCTTGTCTAACACAGAGCAATTACGTGAACTGTTTTTACACAAAAGAACTGTAGCAAAAATGATTTGCCAGTCAGAGGACTAGAAATACGCAGTGCTAGGTAACTGAAGGGAGGGAGGTGGAGACATAAAGTGGTAACCAAAAGCATGCACATTGACAACCTCTAAGGCATGGACAGACCCACTCTATCAACCCTGAGAAGCAGCAGACTTGTTGGGGCAGGTAGGACCCACCCCTGTTGTATAATGGATTGCACACAGCACCAGTCTTTGGGGACTTTAATCAGTCTCCTTTCTCTGTCAAATAAATGTTATGTTAGACCTCAGCCTTAGCTTCCTTTGAAGGATTCTGCTCCCCTAAATATATTTGCCACTAGCTTCTAGGAATGTTAGTGGAAGCCACATACAAGCAAAAGAGCCAGGAGAACCCTCTTCCTGACTACAGCTCAGGAGAAACAGCTCGGAGTGAGGAAGGATGAGTGAAGTGAGATCTTCTCTGGTTGTGAAAAAGGAGCAGAACTCACTAGAGAGGGAGAAGCAGCTGGAAGGATGCTGATGGTTATTTATCACATTAGGCGACTGTCACTACCTGTAGTATCTCTCAGGTGGTGTCTCATGAGGTGGCTTTGCATATTTGGGTTCTTTGCCCCGGAACCTCTTTCAAGCAGCTCAAAGTATAATTTACCCCAAACCATTCAGTGTAGCCTGGTTTGTGCTTTAAATAATAAATGTCCTCTCTTTTCATCTGAAATCACATTTTTATCCCTTCGCAAAAGATTTCCCATCTTTTCTAAAAAAGAATGGTACATTCCATAAACCTACTGGTACATGTGAATCCCGGATCTCTTTTTTTCCTCTGGACTTCATAGTTTTGCCCACAATTTCAGCCCATTTACTTTTCAGTCTTGTACTTCTTAGTAAAGGGATATTAGATATTTCATTTGATAAATAACAGCTCTGATCTAGAAGCTAAAATTAAAAACTATTGAAAGTAGGGATGAGTGCATAACTGAAGAATAAACAATCGCCCATTGATTGACAGTGAGCTAAAAGCCCAACTTCTGCTGGTATCTGGCTGCAGAACATCAGCCATAGTTTAGAAGAGCAGTCACTTCTGCAAACAGCAGCTGCGGCTGGTAAAAGGCACTCTTTCTCTAAGTACAGAGTGGCTGGGGCCACTGGTCTCTGTGGTCACTTTCATGGATGGCAACTGCCAGTACCACTACCAACATCAATCTCAAACACAAAAGAAGCTGGAAAACATACCGAAGAAGTGCTAGAAACTGCAACAAAGTCAACCTAAAAACATACCAGTAAAGACCAAAATTTCCCAAATCTGACACCTCTATGAAAGGTTAAAAAAAAAAATTTTTACTTACATGAAGAGGGGCAGGCTACAGACTGATGGTCAAGGAACTGAAAATCAAAGAAAAAACAAGGAATTAAAAACCAACCAAATGATAGAGTAGGGAGAAGAAAAGCAAATTTAAGAATAAATGGAACTGGTTGATCCTAAAGGGCCGGTAGTAAAATCCCAATTTTGCCACCTGTAGCCCCAAAAGAAAGGAGATCCGGCCTCATAAAAGTTTTCCAAAGGTGTGACCTCCTGCTACAATGGCACAGTACTCACCAGCACAAAGAGTGCCAACACAGGAGTGTTAGCTAGCGCTGCATTGTGCAATACCATAGCCAATAGCCACATTTATCTAAACTGAAATTAATTAAAATTTAATAAAAAGTAATAAAAGTTCAGTTCCTAAGTCACACTAGCCACATGTCAAGTGCTCAACAGCCACATGTGGCTAGCAGCTGGCTTACTGGACAGCATAGACATTTATACCACTGCAGAAAGTTCTATTTCTATCATTGCAGAAACTTCTACTGGACAGCACTGACTAGGGTAGGTAAAAGCTCTACTATGTAGTGCATGATTAACTTTACCTAAACAAAGATGAGTCAACCTCTGATAAACTTTAGCTCTTTTAAGGGTGAATTTAGTCTGGACAAGTTCAACACTGCCATGCACTGTTAACCTTCAGTATCACTAAAAACTTGGCCTTGGTGCTTTGGCTTCCCTTTCTCATACTGCCTCCTCTACCACTTTTCATCAGCCCAGGAATGTCCTCACTGTAGTGGGAAATCATCTAATAAATGATCTTCAACTAAAAAATTTACCCCCAAAACACATTTCTAATGATGGACACTTCAGGAATCCGGCATACAGTAGTTGTTTGTGGGACATTGACCTTAATAGTTTCTTGCTCTGTGGTTAATCCAGTAATTCTCCTTTGTAATCTTCAAATAACGAATCAAATAAGCTATTACAGGACTGGCCTACCTACCATTGTATTGATATCTTATAGAAGAGTAAACTGGAAATAATAGAAGATCCACAAGAAATTAATAAACCAAAGAAGGATGCTGAGAAAACAAAGCACACCCTCCCCACTAAACCATATCAAGGACTTAATGTATGAAATCCTTGTCTTCCTGACTCCGTAATTTTAACCACTTCACATAAAGTCTCCAGAAGCATGTAAAACAAACTTTATTAAAGGACATCAAGAAGAAGAACCTGATAAAATATTTACCACAGAATAAGGCTAGAGCAGGGAGACAGCAATTAAAGAGACTTCACTTCTCAGAATGAATGCAACTTCTACAATGGCGCATTTTCTGGATCATTGTAGACATGGTAGATATTTCCCCAAAAGACATGGTCTCCCATTTATGGCCAATGTGAAACCCTCCCATTCAAACATAATTGTAAAGGATGGTGTTCTCCTTGGAAAAGAAGAGTTAGGATGAGAATCTGCAGCCTGAGTCATAATGCATGTAAACACAAGAAAGGCTGGGGTCTCCAGTGCTTTCAGATTGCTTCACAAAATTGATGAGTTTAATTTCTAAGCAAGATAATTAGATTATACATGATTCATTGGAAGTACATACAAATCTGAAATATTAAAAAAGAGACTGACTAATCTTCAAAGACTTTAAAGCTCTAAGTTTTCCTAAATTCTAGTCTCCTCTACAAGCCAGTATGATGCTGGACTGTTGCACTGATGCATTCTCTCTCTCTTCTGCTCCCTTCCTCTCTCTCTTTCTTCTTTCATCCCTTCCCCACCCTTTCTCTTCCCTTCTCTTCCTTTTCTTTCTTTCTTTTTTTTTTTTTTTTGTTAGCTTAATTTCCTTCCCAACCCTTTGGGAAAAAGGAGAGGATATTAATAGCTATTTTCTCTGAAATATGTTCAATTATCATTTTTCTGTTGTATGTCAGAAACCCAATAACTCTAAATAATATGTTATGCTCTTCTTTAACTATATTTAGGATTTCTTATGTTCTCGTATCTAAGCGGTAACTTTTTTTTCAAAAATTCAAGGAGCATTTATACATAAATGTTAATAAGTCAAAATTAAAATTTTGATGTGATCATAAGAGAGCAATGTAAACTGCACCCAGACTGCCTATACACCCAAGGTGTGGAATGAAAACTGTCCTTTCTGGATGTCAAATGACGCACAGGCTGTCAATGACAGGAATCCAAGACAGAGAGAAAAATCACAGGATGTAATGTCACAGTCTAAGACAAACTAAAGCCAAATTAAATTGAAGATTTTATTGGCTATAATTGTTATCTTTATATATTAATGAAAAACCATAATACCGAACCCAAATTGAATACTAAAGATAAAAATTTAATCTCAAAGTTCTTAAACAATTCATAAATGTTCATAAACGTCAAAAGACCCCTGCTTCTTGATTGAATTACAATTTGCTATGCAGTTTTGAGAATATGTTTTAATCTACATAGATTTATTTTTGTTCAGTTCAAATTGTTGTTTTATTGATATGTGCCCTTTCTGTCTAAGTAGTATTCACCTTGTATGTCTGCAAGTTGTTTTCATCTGAAACGAAAAGAATTATCTATAATAGTTTCACATAAGATAAAAAATTTCACATTTAGCCTTCTAAGTTCAAAGTACAAATATCTAGCAAAGAGTATAAAACTGTGAGCGCCAAATAATTCATAGCATTCACATGGGGGAGGGGACAAAAGTAGAGAGAGGGGAAGTAGTGGCAACTTGTAGTGATGGAGCCTCATCTTAGCTTTATGATTTCTGAGTGGAAATTGTTACATAGTGTCAATCTCCAAGCAACTGAAAGTATTATTAACTGTAACTTTAAAGATTATTCAATTCTAATTTCAATTTATGTAATGTTCTAGGGCAGTCATTTTGAACATCTTGAGGAGATACAGATCCCTATGAGGATCCCTCTCCCCAGAAATCAAGGGGCTCTTAGACTCCATGCAGGTCATCCATGAATCCCATGTTAGTGACCCTTGACCTAAGGGGAGAGGGAAGAAAACCAATGCTTATTACCTCTAAGAGGTTTTAACAAAATGCTCTTGGCTGAAGCAAGGAGTAAATAAAACGAATAGACAATAGAGCTCCAGGTGTGTGTGCATGTGTGTGTGTGTGCGTATGTGTGTGTGTGTGTGTGTGTGTGTCTGGCTAGAGACATACAGACCCCTTTAAAGGCCTCCCAGACTTTACCTTCCTAACCAAAGAAAAAAAAAAAAACCAAACCCACCGCTGTTGAGTTGATTCTGACTCATAGTGACCACGTGTCCTTTATAATTTCATTTTTAAAAAGTTCATAGAGCCTTAGACACAATGGGGTAGAGAAGTAGGAAGCAGAGGAGTAATAACGATAATTAAGAGTTACTATTCACTGAGGACCTTCTGTAGTTTCAGGCTTCCTTCTAAGAAAATACTTCTCAAATTTTGATACAGGTACACCCAGGGATGCATGGCACGCAGAGCCACAAAGCAAGTACTAAAGGCATGGCTGTCTTCCTGGAGGGTCAGTTTTCCTTGTGGGCAAGTAATTTAAACTGTGATTTGCTCATGCATTCATTTATCCAGTATCTACTGCTTGAGTGTTACCGAAGAAGCAGCACAGACACTGACTGCTCTTGTCCTCACGGAACTCCCAGTTTAGTGGAACAAACACCGATATACTGAACAGTGGAATGCAAAATCCACATGTACGTTTATGATGAACCCTGAGTCCTCACTTAAGTCTTGTCTGTGACAGGCTGCTTTAGGCTATGTCCCGGGCACCCTAACATGAAGATCCCCTAAGTGGAGAAGTTTGAGAAGCAACATTAATAGTATATCTTCCTTAACATTTAATGTACGTGTTTATATTTAATGGTATAACACTTAATAGTATAAACATTAACATTTAATCCTCACTGTTGTTAGCTGTCAGCAAGTAGATTCCAACTCATGGTGACCCCATGTGTGCAGACTAGAACTGCTCCATAGTGTTTTCAAGGCTGTGACCTCTTGGAAGCAGATCACCAGGCCTTTCTTCCGAGGCACCGCTGGGTGGGTTTGAACTGCCAACCTTCCAGCTAGTAGCGAGTACTTAACCATTTCACCACCAGGGACTCTATCAATCCTTACTATTGTTGTTAGGTTCCATCGAGCCCATTGTGACTCATAGTGACCCCATGCACAACAGAATGCAACACTGCCTAGTCCTGCGCCATCCTCACAATCGTTGCTATGTTTCAGCCCATTGTTGTAGCCACTGTGTCAATCCATTTCCTTGAGGGTCTTCCTCTTTTTTGCTGACCCTCTACTTTACCAAGCATGATCTCCTTCTCCAGGGACTGGTCCCTCCTGTTAACATGTACAAAGTAAGTGAGACAAAGTCTTGCCATCCTCACTTCTAAGAAGCCCTGGTGGGGCAGCGGTTAAGTGCTCCGCTGCTAATTGAAAGGTCAGTGGTTCAAACCCACCAACCGCTCCACGGGAAAGAGATGTAGCAGTCTGCTTCTATAAAGATTATAGCCTTGGTACTCTGTCCTATAGGGTCACTATAATTCAGAGTTGACTCAGTGGCAATGGGTTTTCTTTTTAATCCTCACTACAAGAGTCAAATACTGTTAATTCTGATTTACCAGAGAAAGAAGGGAGATTTGAGAAATTAAGAAATTTACCCCAAATCACACAGCTGCTGGGATCTGAATGTAGCCCGTACCATCCCAAAGGCTACATATTTTTAATTACTAAATCCCAGTACCGCTAGGTGTTTCCCACTTTGTGTTTCCATTGAAATCTGGCTCATTTTGGATTACACAGGCTAGTTTAAGCTTCTACTTTGGAAGGAGAGAGGTTTGGCTTGATTTGCATTCTACATATTTCACAGTGGTAAGGGAAAGCTATTATTATACCCATTTAATGGTGAGGAAGCTGAGCTACTTGCCAGCTGAGGTATCTGGCTGGGTTAAAAACGGAACCCGGGTTGTTAGTCTCTCATTCCTCCTGACGAACTCCAAGCCTAGGCGTTGGTGCTGTCCAAGTGCCTTTCTGCACATGGGATTCACCATGGGTGAAAAGAC